AATCAAGATAGCTTACACCATTTTCAGCCAATATGGGAGAGGTTTCTTCTCCAAGCTTTAAGAGCCCCATGTAGCTAATTCTATGTGGATCAATAGGCTCCCAATAATGTGACATCTTAATTGCCAGCTCAATTCCACATTAGATATATAGAAGAGACTTTAAATTTATGACTTATGTGATGATATCATCTTACAATCTCAAGCTTTTGATCTTACGATTACGATGCTTTTATTTGGTAATCCTTGTACATTCTTCTTAACCAATGAATTGTTATAAAATTTCACATCATCTAAGAAAATTACAACCTTTAAATATCTTCTCAAAGCCTTAAATGATAGCAACTAAATATGTAAAACTTCATCCCTTAGGTTCAGTCATTGTTTCATGCATATGCATTCTTTATGTAGCCCACTAGTTACCAATCCATCACCCTTTATCTATTTGAAGTGGTCAAGGTCAAAATAATTCATTAAAGAGCTCATGATCATCATTGATTCATCCTATCTCAAAGTCAACAGAGTCAACCCCAAAAGTCAACTTTTTTTATGATGCACTATAGAGTCCCGACCTTGCTACAACTTGGTCTACTTAGCTTGACTATGATATTTTTGGTCTAGTGGCATCCCTACTCCATCAAATTAGTGCTTAATAACCTTGATTCTCATCTTTTGATTAGTAACCTACACAAATCACAAAAAAAAAAAAAAAGTTTAGGGGAATTTGCAAAAATTGTTAAGGAACAAGCTCAAACCAAGTATAGAATGGTAAAATTCATACAATAAAGCCTAGGATAATTCTATAAATCATAGAATGATCAATAATTTAGCTTGAATATAATTTTTTTAAATAAAATTAATTGAATATGTTTTGTATTAAGTGATAAGTAACTATTTATCTATTTATCTATTCAATTTTTTTTGTTGAAAATCTTCTATTTAATATGAGTAAGCAAACATATTGAAAAAAATTAAATTTTTGAAAATTTTCTTTTTCAATGTATTAAAAATTTTCAATACATTATCAAACACACCCTAAATCTCATCATCCAATTTTGTTAAGAATTATAATTTATCTAATTAATTGGTTAAAATAATTAAAAGCATTAAACACATAATAAAATATTCAACCTAAAAACACTAACAAACTAATATTAATAATTAAAAGAAAGAAAATATAGTATCATGATAAAAAAAATCTATCTGACACTCTAAGAAATAAATATAATTTATGTTCAAATAATAAAACTAATAGTAAAATTTTTTAGCAAAATAATTGAAATTGACAAGAATAATTAAAATCGAAAGGAAATAAAAAAATAATTTAAATAGCAAAAAAGGATATCATGGGATTTGTTTACTAGAAAACCTAGTGCACGTCTAACAAAATCTTCGAAGAGTGCTTTATAACTCTAAACTTTCTTTTTTTTCTCTCTCTTTCCTCTATTTCTTTCTTTGTTTTGCTGCCTTAAGCTCTATTTTTCTTTATTTAATTCTTTATGCCCCAAACTCTCTATTTACAGTGAAAGTTGAGCAATTTTTCTTTTTAAACAAGGGATTTTAAAATCCTATTCTGATAAGGATAAATATATTAGTTTTGTTGTTATTCAATCTCTTTGGATTCTTCTCTGACTTAGGTTTTATTTATCCAATCCAACCAAATTGCTCTTATTTTTATCATTCTACATAGGAGATAACCATTCCAAAATAGTTAGAATCATAATAAAAAAAATTAAATATATAATTAAATAGGTATATAGAATAAATAAAATTTAATCCGATAAAAAATCCTCAAACCTAAGATTTGTTAGCCCTTGAGCAAAAGAAGAAATTAAAGATAGAAAATAAATACATATAAAACTAATACCACTTTCAATATTGCCTTAAAGAATGCATAAAATACATAGTACAAAGAAAAGAACATATACCATAAAAGTTTAGCTCAATTCATGAATTTGCTCTAACTCAAATTATATATATGAGAAAGAATCAACTTACATAAATGTAAAACTTTTTAGTTTTACATTTTTTTTAACCATTGATTTCATTAAATCCAATGGATGAAAGAGATAAGTCAAAGGAGAAAAAATGGTTTAATCTCATCTCTTAGATCTATTAAAATTAATTGTTAAAAAAAGATATAAAAAATAAAAAGTTTTATACTATGTAAGTTAATCCTTCCTATATATATATATATATGTATATATTGTGTGTTAATACCAAATTTACCTTGCCATTTGTTATTGAAATCAATTCATGCTAAATAAGAAAATTATAAGAACATATTTTGATGGAATACAGCAAAGTGAAATTAATTATGCAATTTTAACCTTGTAGGAATTCACCTTCTAAAAAAGGTGGATACACCATTTAGGCTAAGTTTAGGTTTTTGATACTATTTTCTTAACAAACATTGTGAGATGCTAATATCTTACTAGACATAACTATATTCTCAAATCCAAACTCTATTTTTCATAGATAAAAAATTATCTTTTAATAAATCTTTTTGAAGGAATTTTTTTAGATTGTCAATCACATATAGTAAAAAAAAGAATTGGTGATGGCTTGTTGTGTTTTTAAAATCATCCTGTCCTCATAGAATATCATTATGACAATATTTATAATAAAAAATTATATCTATTTTCATCAATTTAAAAAAATTTCACATTTGTGTTTTTTATATATGTTATAAATAAAAAATTATAGATTTTATTTAAAACTTAAAAAAAAACTCATTACTCATTATTAGAAAAAATGTTTTTATAAAAAGTTGAAAAAGGGTAGAAGAGAGCAAACAATCGATTCTACTAATTTGATTGTAAATTTTTTAAAATTGACTAAACTGATTTAATCTTATTAAAAGCTGAATTGACCAAAAAGCTAAGGGAAACCGAAAGTAACCAAACTTAAGTTGATTAGTTATCTCGGTTCTGTTTGTATTAGTTATTTCTATCCTATTTGTGTTCCTAATGCTAATCTTAAAAAGAGTTTATAGTTAAAAGCCATTAATTTTATCAATGAGAAATTGACTATTCAAGAAAACATCAATAAAAGAAAATCTCAAAAAGAGTCTCTTTCCTTCTAAGACTTTTACTTTCCCATAATCTCTAATACAAAGACTCCCTTTAACCTTACTCAAACAAAACCCAAATAATTAATTAAAACTATAAAACACATGTTTACAACTAAACCCAATAATTTTATTGAACAAAAAAATTGTAAAATACATAAGATTTTAAAAAAATATAATGAAAGAAATAAAACAAATAATAAAACAAAATTATCTATTTGATAATTTGGGTCACTGACCTTTAATGGTAAGCCACCTTCATTGGTGATGAACTTGCTAATTGAGCCATAAAAGAAAAGGAAACAACTTGCCATGTTGTATTTTAGAGAAACAAGGAAATAGAAAGAAATAGTTGAAAGGGAAAAGGTAAAAGGCTAGTTGGTGGTGGGTGAAAGGTTGGTCAATGATCACTAATAAAAGGTTAGGTGGTGGTTGTTGATTGTTAGAAGAGTGACTATCAAAAGGTGAAGTGAGGGGGTGAGGCTATGATAGAGCAAATGAAATGAGAGGAAAACATTTAGGCATGATTCATTTGGTTTCGTTGATAAAAAGGGTAAAATATAAAATATATATTTAATTTAATTATTGTAAATTGATTTTTTTTTCAGTTGATTCGAGTATCAAAATCTAATAACAAAAATCGATTGTCCAAACCACTAAAACTGATTGCCTAATAAGTTACCCATAAAAATTGAATAACTTGACCCTATTTAATAAATAAAGTTAGTCTTAATTGAGTTTTTTGATTTATTCCAATTTATACTATGCCCTAAAAAAGGGTAAAGAAAAAAAAGAGTTTGTTTTTATACATTGTTAGTGTAATTTTCATTTTTTTTTTCATTAGCCATACCACAAGCAATATTAGTATGGTGATACACAGTCTTTAGGGTATATTAAAAGTAAAAAATAATTAAAAAATGAGATATATGCTGATTGCCTAATAAGTTACCCATAAAAATCAAATAACTCGACCCTATTTAATAAATAAAGTCAGTTTTGATCGATTTTTTTTTATTTATTCCACGTTATACTATGCCTTAAAAAAAGAGTAAAGAAAAAAAAAAGAGTTTGTTTTTATACATTGTCAGTATAATTTTTTCTACAAGTGTGATTAAAAGATTAACATATATCTCATTTTTTAATTATTTTTTACTTTTAATATACCCTAAAGACTATGTATCACCATACTAATATTGCTTGTGGTATGGCTAACACAAAAATTGAAAAAAAAATGAAAAAACCAAAAATCAATAAAAAAATCTTAGTGTTTAGTTTTGTTTGGATCAAGTTTTTTTTTATTCTATTCAAATCAAATCAGATATTAAATATTTTAATTAGGTTTAGATCAAATTTCAGATCATGAAATAAAAAAATAAAAATATCATAATCAAATTAAATTATATTTTTATTGGTTTTTGTATAAATTTAAAATTTTTATAAAATAAAATATTATTTTTTATATAAATTTATTTAAATATATTAAAAATTGATATAAAAAAATTACAAAAAATTTTAAAGTTTTAAAAATAATATTTAAGGACAAATGAATTTAATAAAATCAATAAGATTCAATTCATATTAATTCAAATTTAAAAAAATAATTTAAATTTAAATCTAATTTTATAATTTTATAATATCACATAAAAGTGTATCCAATTCAATTTATGATAGTTGTTAAATTTAATGATCGTATATTTAAATCGTGTAAAATATTAAAATTCGTATATTTGTATTATATTTTATACAAAAATTATGTATTATAATTTATATCGATACGAAAATATAAAATATAATTTTTTTTATTTTATTAAATCAATATATAATTATTATTATAATTTTAAATTTTATCCTATTCGTATTTTATTTTTATATTATATTTTTTTCCTCTCACTTTACCATATTTTAAATTACTAAATGTAAGAGGGGCGCAATTGTCTCGTGTATATAACGAAGTTAAGTGCTTGCTGGCGACAAAGTTCCTGTTCCCAGAGCGTTAATTTCCGTTCTTTCAATTCAAAACTCTATAAAGTTTCTAATTCCCCATTCCTCCTCAATGGCCTCTTCCATTTTCAACAACAGCATCTCAATCTCGGTCTCAGATGACGAATCCGATGAAGTTGGCCGAATGCGAGTCCGAGTCCGGAGGAAACGCAAGAAACACAGCCATCGCCTAGTCAGGACCGAGTTGACTCATCGACTCATCCGTTGGTTCGTCAAATACTGGACGCTCCTCATATTCCTTCCGGCCGCTGTGCTGCTCATTTTTGAGGCCACCAGGATCGGTAGAAAACCCGGATTGGTCGTCAACTCGGAAGTTAATCAAGTGAAAGAAGCCAATTTGTTGGGGAACTCAGAACTTACTAAAGTGAAGGTACCGAGTGAAGAAAAGAAATCCGAAAGCAATTTGAACCGGCTCGATACAACCACTCGTGGTGTTAGAGAACGTAAGTAAAATATCAAATAAATCTCTTCCTTTGGTTACAGAGAAAATAGGAAATATTTAAATGACAAAATGTTTGCGGAATATATCAGGTTGCTTGAAGCTCCTACCAGCTGAGGAACTTGAGCATCTGGATATTCCAGTAGATGAAGAATCTAGCACTGGTCCTGTTAAAAGATTGGTGTACATAGCTGACCATCAAACGCCTACCTTCTCTTGGCAGCGTACTAATGGCACACGATTTAATCTATTCACCGGAAACCAAACCCTTGATGAGAGAGAGAAAAGTTTTCAGGTTTTGAGCCTTAATAAATAGAGTGATGCTTTTTAATGTTACACTTGCATTTTCTTTTTCTTTTTTTTTTTTTTTTGGTATTGTGGATTATGCTTATGCACGGAAATTGTTTGTCCAGGTGAATGAAACTGCTGTTGTACATTGCGGTTTTTTTAGTGTAAATGGTGGTTTTGAAATATCTGATAGGGACAAGAGTTATATGCAAACTTGCAAAATCGTGGTTTCTACTTGTGCATTTGGAGGGGGAGATGATCTTTATCAACCTATAGGAATGTCAGAGGCATCACTTAAAAAGGTGAGCATATGTGATGCAGAAGACTTACCTTTTGGCTTAGATGCTCAACATTTTATTTTTTATTTGAATTATGCACTTTGTTGATGCAGGTTTGTTATGTTGCATTCTGGGATGAAATTACGCTTGCAGTACAGGAATCACAGGGCAATAAGATAGGCGAGGATGGAGTTATTGGAAAATGGCATATTGTGATTGTCCGAAATCTTCCTTTTGTAGACCAAAGGTTGAATGGGAAAATTCCCAAGGTATGACGGGTATTCTGGATAGATAAACCCACAAAATAGTAGATGTTATTCACTTTTTGATCTCTAAACATTTTGCCTTTCTGGCAGCTCATGATTGCTATCAACTTACTCTGCATTTCAGAACTTGTTTAAACTCTTCTTCATTTGTACCAGTCAGTGTCTTATCTTGTATCCATTGCTCATCTTTTATTATTTGTTGGCAACTTTAGTCCATTATACTCATATATCCATGAAGTCAGTACTTTAAAATTGATTTTGACCTCAAATATTATCAATGGTCTTAGAGAAAGTATGATAATGTAACATGTGGATTAATGGCCATTTTCTTCGTTCATGTTCTAGTTTGCTTTGATGCTTATGCATCTGTGTCTCAATATATATGCCAAGAATTTTCATTAAGATTGTTTTAATGAGTTTGTGGCTATTAGATGTTGGCCCATCGGCTCTTTCTTCATGCAAAGTACTCTATTTGGGTAGACTCAAAATCCCAATTCAGGAGGGATCCTTTAGGTGTATTAGAAGCTCTTCTTTGGAGTAGGAATTCGGTGCTTGCAATTTCAGAGCATGGAGCTCGTAGTAGTGTCTATGATGAGGCGAAGGCTGTTGTCAAAAAACACAAAGCCACGCCAGAAGAAGTTGAGGTGCAATTGACTCGGTATCATCAGGATGGTCTTCCTGAGGACAAGAGATTTAATGGAAAGAAAGGTATTTGCCTGTCTTCTCTTTCTTGGTTGTGTAATAGATATCAACAATAAAGAGTAAGCTTTTCTATATTAAACGTCAATGGTAGTGATGATCCACAATTGGCATGACTTTATAATTTCTTGCGTCCAATATAAGCAGTATATTTTTCATCAATCCATGTCCCATCTGGTTTACATTGTCTGAATTCCACTGCTCCTTGTTTTTGAGTGTTGTAAATTTGTTATGCAGGACCTAGAAGGCAGCACAAAAGCCACTTGGTATTTTATCTGTTTGAAGGCTTTTACGACCTCAACCTATTTATCCCTGCTCCAGACCAACGCTTGATAAAATTGGGTCTTGCATTCTTACATATCTGTAGCCTAGCTGAACTTGGTGGCATTTAAGTTCTACCACGGCCATTTAATTAAACCTCTAAAATCTATGAGGCCAGTAATTGAAAGGAAGCCACTAGACCATTTTGACCTCCTTCGTACATAGTGAACAAATGAACAAATTGCTGAAAGAAGGGGGACATAATTGCTTGGACCAGTCCAGATAACTGGAATTTACCTGTAAACTTATTTTGGTGCGAAATTATGATTTGCATTTTGCTCTTTTGTGCAGCTCTAAATGAAGCCTCTGTCATTGTGAGGAAGCATACTCCTTTGACTAATATGTTGATGTGCCTTTGGTTTAATGAGGTTGTTCGTTTCACTTCAAGGGATCAATTGAGCTTTCCATATGTTCTCTGGCGGTTGAAAGTGCTAAAGAACATCAATATGTTCCCAGTCTGCACACGCAAAGATCTTGTTAATAGCATGGGCCACATTCGCAAGGCTAAGCCTTTGACAAATTGAAGTTATTGCTCTGATGCCACTACAACTTCTTGTCTATTACCTCAGAGATGCGGGCGGGCATATTGGCTGGGTTATAACTTTTAATCATTTTGTTATCTCCTTGCATATTTTGTAGGTGGCATTGGCCTTCAGAGTCTTCTTATCTACTTCTCATCGTCTCTTGCCTCTCCATTTTGTTTATTATTTAGGACAAATAGATTCGTTATTCTTTTGGTTATAATAAATTGTTATAGTGAATCTTGTGTCTGTGTACTAAGGTATCTGATTGTAAGATGGATCGATTGAAGCTTACACTTACTCTTACCTTCATGTACTCTGGCATCGATTGTTCAGTTATCAATTTTTCTTATACTTATTCCATTTTTCTTTTCTCCAGTTATCAATTTATCATATGGAAATTTTAACCCAAAGTTCTATTTGAGAATAAGCTTTTTAACAAGAATTTTGGAATGGAGGGAGGAAAGGGAGAGTCTAGCAGCTGAATTAGTTGATAAATTGGTTGTAATACTCATTCAACCAGATGAAAAGAATATCACGATTTTTTCTCCTATCTGTTTCTCTCTAGATTCTTCTCCTTTGTTCTCACTCTTTTTGATTCGGAATTACACTTCATTTTGGAGGAGTGTGATTGTTTTGAGCTTATTAATTTGGTATCGGAGCTTCAATCCTGGCATCAATGGCTGATAATATTACCACAAGGTTGCAGAAAGAGGTTAACAATTACAAACGAGATGCAACAGCTAAATAAAAACGTCGATAAAAAGCTAGAAGGCATGTGAGCTGAGATCCGCGTACAATCTCAAAAAATTGATGAATTGACAACTGAGTTTAGAAAATTCTATGATCGAATGGCCATATGAGATGAGAGTAAATCCACAAGGAAAAATGTTGCTTCATCACCCGGAATTCATCAGATCTTACCAGCTACTTCTTCAGCATCAATCTCTACAACCGTTCCGTTATCTTGGTCTGAGTCCTTAGATCATTTAAGCTTGAATGCCCTAAGTTCAATGGTGAAGACTTCAAGGGCTAGTTATTGAAGCTTAAGCAAATATTTTGAAGTTAAGAGGGTGCTTGAAAGTTCCAGGGTGAGGGTTGTTATGTTGAGCTTGGAAGGCAAGGCTTTGCAGTGGCACAAACATTATTTCCGAGTGCAAGGGGGACTTGACAAGCTTAGATGGGGTACTTATACTGTTGAAATGCAAGATTGATTTGTGAGTGGAGAATTTGAATATCTCATGGTCGAGCTGGTGGAGCTGAAACAGAGAGGTGGTGTGGACTAATATCATGATGACTTTATTAGTATCCTTAATCTGTTACAACTATCTGATAATTATACTCTTAGTGTTTTCATTAGTGATTTGAAACTTTAGATGGCACAATCACTCAGACTATTTAAACCAAAAACTTTTTCTTTTTCCAAATCTATCCTCCCCTTCATTTATTCCAGCCCTCTACCTAAGACCAATGTTCTACCTCCTTTACTGCATACTCCAAAAATACCACCTAACATACACCAAAACCATCTACCCTTACAAAACACCAGAAACCCTTACAAGATATCTAAACCACAAACTACTTCTAATCAACCTAATAGTCTGAGGTCTAATACTAGAAGATTATCTCATGCTGAAATGGAAGAGAAATGAAAGGAAGGGTTGTGTGATTGGTATGGATCAAAATACTCTCCTAATCATAAATGATTGTGAAAATGAGTGAAACTGAAATGCAGCCTGAAGCTAATTATCTTGTTAATAATGAGACTCATGTGTCTGAGAATGCCGAAGATAATTCCCCTGTGATTTCTATGCATGTTATGCCCTGGCACCAATGGTTATCAAACCATGAGTACATGGAATGATCAATAAACACAAATTTGTGGCATTGATCAACTCTGGCAGTACACAATTTTATTAACACTTTTGTGGTCAAGGCTTTGGGGTTTACCAGTTTGGCATGGCCATCGATTAATCGTAACCGTAGCTGATGGAAATAGTTTGACCGCTAATGGTATTTGTAAATGTGTGCAGTGGTTAGTCCAGGGAGCTTGTTTTTGAACTGACTTTATGGTGTTACCTCTGAAGGCTGTGACGTGGAATTGGGTGTGCAGTGGCTAGTGAAACTTGATCCAGTTGTACGAGATTTCAATGCTTTGACAATGCAATTTCAACATGCTTCTAAGTGGTGTCTACTACTACAGTATATACAGCCTGGATCAGTTCAGGTTATGGATGGCATACCTATAAGATGTTGTTTTCCTTAATAACTGGTTCGAGTCAAAATGCTTATGCTTACTTGATGACAATCAATGCCAATGCTCAATTGTATACTCCCAAGTCTGACGATCAGGAAGATTTTTCTTACAAGTTGGCTTCAAAGCAGCTGTTGTAGGAATATCAAACACTGTTTGACTTACCTAAAGGGTTACCTCCTAGTAGGCCTCAGGATCACAGGATTCCCTTGCACAATGAAGCGCAAGTACTTCGAATCCAACCTTACAAGTACTCTGTCATACAGAAGAATAAAATTGAGAAGTTGGTTAAAAAAATGCTAGATTGTGGCATAATCAAAGACAGTAGCAACTCATTTGCATCACCATTTTGATGGTGAAGAAGAAAGATGGGTCTTGAAGGCTATGTATGGACTATAGATAGCTCAACCAACTAACCATAAAAAATAAGTTCTAATTCTCTTAGTGCATGAATTGTTAAATGAGTTGGTAAATGCTACATGTTTTACCAAGTTAGATTTGCGATCTGGTTACCACCAAATTAGGATGTATGAGGGCGATGTACATAAGATAGACTTTTATAAAAAATGAGGGCCATTATGAGTTTTTGGTAATGCCATTTGGACTCACAAATGCACCATTTACCTTTCAAAGCTTGATGAATTCAATCTTTAAACCTTATCTCGGAAGATTTGTGTTAGTTTTCTTTCACGATATTTTGGTATATTCACCCAATTAGGATACTCATCTCATTCACTTAAAGAGTGTCTTTGAGGTCCTCAAGGCCAACAATCTCTTTGTTAAGAAGAGTAAATGCCAATTTGGGGCAAGGGAGGTGGATTATCTTGGTCGTGTAATTAGTGGCAAGGGTATCTCTATGGACAGCAGCAAAGTTCAATTCATTTTGGACTAGCAATTGCCAAAGTCAGTAAAGGAGCTAAGAGGCTTCTTTGGGCTCACAGGGTAATGTAGGAGGTTTATCAAAGGATATGGCATACTAGCCAAACCCTTAACTAATTTGCTTAAAAAGGAAGCTTGGCATTGGACAGCAACTGCAACTTATGCTTCGGAACAACTTAAGATAGCTATGACTACTTTACTAGTTCTGGCCTTAACGAATTTTTCCTCAAAATTCACGGTGGAAACTGATGCCTTAAGATTGGGAATTGATGCTATTTTGACTAAAAAATGGGAGACCCTTAGCCTATTTCAATAAGGCATTGGCACCTAGACATCAAGTTTTGTTGGTTTATGATAAGGAAATGATGGCGGTACTCATGGTTGTCAAAAAAATGGCATGCCTACTTGGTTGGTAGACATTTCAAGATCAAAATCGATCATTAAAGTCTGATCCTGTTAGACCAACAAGCTGTTACCCCTGCAAAGCAGATGCGGGTGACTAAGATGATAGGATATGATTATGAAGTTTCCTATAAAAAAGGGACATCCAACATGGTGGCAGATGTGCTTTCCAGAATTCCAAATATACAGAATGCTCAACCGATGGCTATTTCATCTATAAGCACCAATTTGTTACTGGACATTCAGAACTCTTGAGAAACTGATATGAGACTGAAGAAACCCATTAGTGAGTTACAAGTCAATCCTCAACAGAATCCCAAGTATAATTGGCATGGGAATTAACAAAAGAGATAAGAAAAATTGGTTGTTGGAAGTGATTTTGGTTTAAGCCAGAATCTAATGGCTTGCTTTCACAACAGTCCTTTTGGTGGTCATTCGGGTTCCCAGGCAATTATTAACAGAATTTCCAATGTGTTATACTGGAATGAGCTACGGAAAGATGTTAGAAGAATGGTAAGGGAATGCATTACATGCCAACAACACAAGTATGATAATGCTGCAAGTCCGAGGTTGTTAAAATCATTGCCTATATCTAATAGAATTTGGACTGATATCAGCATGGATTTTATTGAATGACTTCTAAAGTCAGGGGAAAAGGAGGTCATACTGGTTGTGTTTGATAAATTGAGTAAACATGCTTACTTCTTCGCTATATCTCATCCTTTTACTACAATGATTGTAGCTCAAGTTTTCATGGACACCATGTGTTAAAATGACATGGGATACCTAATGGCATTGTGTTTAATAGGGATAAGATCTTTATGAGCATTTTCTGGCAGGAGCCTTTTAAAAGGCTTGGAACTTCTTTGAAGCTTTCAATAGTATATCGTCCTCAAACTGATGGCCAGACAGAAATGGTGAATAGGTGTCTTCAAACTTATTCGAGATGCATGACTAGTGAGAAACCCAAGAGTTGAGCTCGTTGCTAGCTTTAGCCGAATGGTGGTATAATATCACCTATCACTCATCCATTCACACATCTACCCATGGAGCTCTTTATGGACCAATGCGTGTTTCTTATCTAACTGGGGAATCACTGGTTGCCACTTTTGATAGGAGTTTGCAAGTTAGGGAAGCTGCTCTTAAAAGATCAAATTTTATTTACACAGAGCTCAAGATAAAATTAAGGTGCTGGTAGACAAAAAAAGAAGTGAACATGAATTTCATATTGGTGACTGGGTCTACTTGAAGCTACAACCGTATAAAAGCAATTTGTCAATAGCAGAAGTTACCTTAAGCTTGCTGCTCTATATTTTGGGCCTTTTCAGGTGCTAGCCAAGGTTGGTAAAGTAGTACACACATTGTAATTACCAACAGGATCCAGGATTCATCCTACTTTCCATTGCTCTATATTTTGGGCCTCTTCAGGTTCTAGCCAAGGTTGGTAAAGTAGTACACATATTGTAATTACCAACAGGATCCAGGATTCATCCTACTTTCCATGTGTCGCAGCTGAAACAGCATTTTGGCAACTGTCCCACTTAGTCCCAGCCTCCTTTTATAGGTACTGACGGTACCATTATTGGGGTATTAGTGTAGGTGCTTGCTAGAAGCATGGTAAAAAAGGGCAACAAGGCTAACGGAGGTGTTGGTGAAATGGTCTAATACTTTTCTTTAAGATGCTACTGGGAAGGTGCTATACAAACTGCAAAAAAAGTATCCTGGTTTCAGCCCTTTAGGACAAGGATTGTTTTGACAAGGGGAACGTTGATGTAGGCCTAAATTAGGAAGTTAGTAGTATGGCTGTATGTAAGTCCAATAGAGTCCAGTTGTAAGAGTTTAAGTGTCATGTCCTGAGATCAAGACGTAACACGATCATATTATCTCAAAGAATATTTCAAAGTAATACGAAGCTTTTTTTTTTAAACATTCTAAAATTTTTAATAAAATAATCTATCAAGTAAAATTCATATCTTTAATCTAACTGATAATACATCTTTATATATCCAAATACAAACCATAAAAAATACAAAACTATCTCTTAAGATCTCATTGGCCAACATATCCTCCGACGACTAAGTAATCTTTCTCATTTCATCTTCTAGCTTCACACAAGGTTAACCAAACTTATCACTTAGTCATCTGTAAAAAAAAAGTAAAAGAGGAATGAGCAAACCACAACGCAGTAAGTATATGCTCACACACGTTATTAGATCAAGCATCATTTTCTTACACATCATATAGATCATTCAAAACATTCATCAAATCATAATATCAAAATATTTCAAGATCATCGTTTTGTCAAATATTTCAGAAATTCATAAATCAATGTCAAAATATATCATTTCATAAATCATTACAAAATATGTTATCATTCAAATATCATAATCAAACCAAATCATGGATCAATCATTAAAAATCATCGTAAAACATCATCATCATAAATCATCATTATCATTGGTTTATCATTAGCTACAGTCACTATTATAACCCGTGACATTAGTCGTATCGACAATTTCATTCTCAGGATCATTGCTAACTATTATAACCCGTTAGTCAAGGCTTACGCTAACTACTATTACCCGTTAGCAGGGTCGTATGATCATGTCTTTGCTAACTACTATTACCCGTTAGTCAGGGTCGTAGAACTAGTTCTGGTGTCGATGATCCCACTTTTCAGGATGTAAAAACGTAACCATCACAAAATCATTCTTTAATCATAAATCATTTTCTCATTTCATTCATAAGCATGATCCATCATTTATATAGAGAAACACAAAATAATCATTTGCTTGATCTTATTTTCATACATAAAAAATAAAGAAATAAAAATATTCTTTCATTTAGAAACATATATATATATATATATACATAGATTCGAAAATAAATAAAGTGTGTGAGATTCTACTTACCTCCATTCGATTCCACCACTTAGTTTTTCCCTCAAAATAATTAATGGCCTATCCAAGATCATTTCAACAGATCAAAATTTAATCAACCTTTTTTTAGACCATTTATACAAAAATCAACTAAGTTACACAAAAGGTTAACTTAATTAATTAATACTGGCAGCCTAACCTCTTTTCATTAAAACAGTCATATCTCAATATATCCAAATCGAAATTATGATCTCTTTAATGCGTTAGAAACTAGACTTGATAAACTTTCTAACCATATACGACAAACCTCGTAATTCCTTGTAGATTAATTATAACAATTTGAAATCCACGTCATACACTGCTGCCAAACAGCATGTATACCTTCTAATGAAAATTATATATTTATTCACAAAAAACTCCAAATTCAATTCCGCTTGTTTTATTGAAAAGTAGACTTAATAAGCCTTCCAAACATATATGGCTTAATCTATAAATCCTTGTATACAAATTAAGAAGAATTTCATAATTCAACCTTGATACTGTTGTCTTACAATCTGCATATTCTTAAATTAAAATTAGACAACTCTTTATAAAAAATTCGGATTTAACTTTCGTTTATTTCATTAGAAACTAGATTCAACATGCTTTCCAATGATATATAATAATCACAGTAATAATCTATTCATTAATGCAAAATTTTATTTTAATTCATTATTACAGATCACAATATCTCATTCAAAAATAAAATTGATCTAACATCTGAATCAAGTGATAAATTGGTTGCAATAGTTATTCAAGCTCTTAAAAGGGCTATCACGATTTTCTATCCTATCTGTTTTTCTTTAGATTCTTCCCATTTCTTCTAATTCTTTCTGATTCTAGAATTACAATTCGTTCCTGAAGAGTGTAATTGTTTTGAGCTTATCAAATTGTCGAAAAAAGGAAAAAGTGGCTTGCTGATCAGCACTATCCACTATCAATCGATAGCCCTTCGTGGATTACAAGAAGATAAAAAAATAATTTTTTGAATTATCTGTAGCACTTATCTCATGTTGTGGATTAACACAACTAATTTATCCATACTTAAATTAATTAATGTCAATTTATAAGTAATTATAGTAGTATCAAATTATGTTGTACTTGATCACGTAGTATAGTATGATTTTAGTTAAGTTTGATTTTGATATAATTTTATATTTAAACGTATAGTTGGAAGATATTAATTTTGACTAAAGTGTTAAAGAAAGCCTCTGCTCTTATCTAATTTATATAAAATTAGTAAGTTTCATAACTCCAGTTTCAAGTAGAGAGTAGTTCTATCTCTTTCTTTTTTGTACGTAGGTCTCCATTCGGATGCTTGGAGGAGGCAATGGAAAACATAAGAGGTTGACAACAATTCTGTGAACCTCAGTTTTGCGGGATTAAGCTCTCATCACTAATATAAAATTGACCTCAGTTTCATAACTTTAGTTTTGGTTAATTTTGTATTAGTAACTCGTTGATGTTTCGGGCAAATCCAACACTTGATATTAGAGCGAAATTCACCCGAAGAGTCACAAACCATTTCTGTTTATTACGGTGCTGCCATTAAAACTCGAAATGAGTTTTTGAAACCCATTCCGTTTTTGACATTTTCAGCTTCAAATTGTTGTTCTGTTATTGGGGAGATGAAAATAAGTTGAAATATATAACTTTTTCAAACTAAAACGATGTGAAAATTTTACACGAAATCCTCATTTAATAAGTGAAGCGAAAAAGTATCTCAAGTGAAATTCATCCAAATTTTATATAAAATTTATAATGTATAAGTGGTGAATGCTTATAGAATTATTTTATTATGATTGAATAATTATAAGATTTTAATAAAAAAATTTGTATATGAAATGCACCTGCATGCATGTTGGTTGTCTTATTTATTTATATATATATGTTCATAATACTAAATATTTTAAAACTTAAAAAACTTGATAAAATTCATAAGTCACTTAATAAATGTTAAGAATATGTAAGTTATAATTATTATACTACAATTAACTAATAATTATTTAAAATTATTTAAAATTCATTAAAATTTTATATGAAAGTTACATTTATAAATGATTAATCCTACAAAATTTTTAGTTGTGATTGAACAATTATATAATTATATATTTATAATAAGAAAATTACACATGAAATGTTCCCTAAATACTACCAAAACCAAACACAATAAAACTGACTCTGATCAAATCCAATCTTGAAATTACGAGCAATTAAACTAACACTAGGATAAAATATTAAAAAAAAAAAAAATGTAGGGGTGAGCATAATCGATTGAATTTGATAAATTGATTTGATTAATTTAATTTCAATAATTATTAGTTAAATAAATCTATTTAATCTATTAATTTGATAGATTCTCAATATTTAAAATTAATAACAATCCGCTAGAATTAATTAATTTGTAAATATATTATATAATATAAATATTTATTATTTGTATTTTTAGAAATGAAAAATATGAGATCAATGGTAAAATTATAAGAATAATTTAATTGAATGAAAATTATTACAAAAAATATTTTTCGAAATTAATATAGAATGAATTGTGAAAGAATTTAATTTTTGAATAAACTCACCGACTCGATGTGAATTTGATTATTTTCAATTATTAAATATAAATCGACAGATTCGGTTATTTTAGAGAATGTCAATTAAATCAAAATTTGATTTTTAAAGAGTCAAACCACCGAACCGTCACCTCTAAAAGGAAGAGGGCATGGAGAAGAAAACTCAAAATGGAAATGGTTTTTTTTTTTTTTTTTCATTTTCATTTTTCGTTCTTTAAATTAGATAAACTTAGCAAATATATACAAGGAAGCAAAACAGGTTGACAGAGAGAAACAACTGCCTTGATGCCTTTAAAGGCCAGTTTCTTTTATGTACACGTTGACTTAGGCCCCGATGAAACCTCCCTTGAAAAAAACACCAGAAACAAGGAGATCTCAACGCACATCATAAGGAGTGGTCAAGCTCTTTCGAAAGCTGGCATTGCTAGCCAGAGAAGAGACGGTCTCATTCTTACACTGTCCAACAGTCGGGAGTCATCTGCAGTCACTCCCTGCATCTGTAGCAAACAAACTTCGCCGGCACTGCATCCGAGTCATTAATCCCCGAACACCTTGTGTGCTGCCACACCCCACAAACGTCACAAGCCAACATCCTTTCCCCGTCATCATCCTTTGCTCCACAAATGCAATCCACCGTCCACCTCTCAATCCCTCTTTCCAACCTAAATTTACTTAGCCCATTTTTCCCAAGGCATCTCCCTCCAACCTTAACTGATTCTGTTGACCCCAACAAAAACTTGACCTGTGTGGTATCATCTACACCCTCATAGCCAAGCAACTCTTCCGCTTGGAATCTTTTGAATGCCAAATATACTTCCTGGAAGGCCTTTGATGCTTCCATCTTGAGCTCTGATACAGTAGCATTTACTGGTAACACTACCAGTTCTGCAGGTGGATCGGGTGCAATTTCTCCAGATTGATCCACAAGCTCCAACTTGCATGAGAGGCAAACTACAACTCCATTCCCGCTTGGTAGCTTCTCAGGCATGTAATCCTTCACAAATTGCTTGCAGTCAAGGAGCTTCTCCACTGAGTTGATGGCAAGATTTCTGGTCGTATCAGGTCTGTAGCTCAACATGGTTTGAGGGTGGAGCATGGATTCATACAAGAATTTAAGGTCCTGCTTAAGAACTTCCTCAGATGGGGGCCAGTTAGCAGCGCAAGTATCATTGGAAGTGGAGGTTATAGAATCATTTTGAGGCTCAAGTCTGTGACAGATCAAGACTACTAGTTAGTGTATGTACCATAGGAGATCATTATACTATAACTAACATTGGACAAGAAGGAAGGGATAATAATAATCCTATAACTATAATAATTAATTGTTCAAAGATAGAAAACTCTTATGGCTATATAATTTTCAGGCATAAAATACAAAATTGTGCCAGCCAAAAACATGTTTGTGTAAATTAGCAAGGCATTTAAAGAGACCAAATCACATACCTATACTCGAGAGCACCTGCAACAGGATTGTGTCTTGCATTAACAACCATTCCTTCTGCTGCTAGTTTCCCACCAAGTTCCATGAGGCAATGATCAAGGAGTGGTGGAGTAGCCACCTTGCAGACGGCTCCCCTAAGAGCACGGTAACTTACCCAATTGGAGCCGGACACTGCCCGAAGCACTCTAAACATAGCCTCTTCAACACGTCCAACATCAGCTCTACTCCATGGTAAAATCCCAGAAGAAGAAGTACGTTGTTTCTTGCATGTAGCACCCCCAACCATAGAGGAAGCCTTGTGGGAACCATGGATCAAACTCACCAGAAAACAAAAAAGGTCTTTTATATTTACAAGCTCACTCTTTGATAAAGACTGGTAAAATGAGATTATGTCTTGCAAGTGAGTGCTGGGTTTTGATCCTTGTGGAAGAAAGATGGATAATGGAAGGCTAGAAAGAGTTTCAACAGCTGATTTATAGGCATCTAATGTCAGGGCAAAACTACCAGCACCAAATTCATAACCCCAATCCCCATACCATGGACGGCCTTTGATAATGGCATGAAGTAGCCGGTACTCCAACCCATACTTTTTTGACACATCCATCACGCTGACCTTCCTGTTCATACGAGATGACGTGGAAAAGTAAGAAAATAACTCAATACCACGACTAATTCAATCATATGGTGAAATGCATCCAAGTATCATACAAACTTACAGATAAACAGTATTAACCAGGATACAGAACCAAATGCACTGATCATAATTATATTCGAGAAGAAATTTATAAGACAGATGCAAACAGAAAATTATCAGCAGCAAATGACAAGCCCAATCATTTTTTTGGGCCAGGAAAAGAATTTACACAAGCCCAATAAAAAATATCTCCAAATTACTTATGAAGTACTGATATAATTTTGAAGTGTTTGATGACCAATACCACATGATTTAAAAGAAGATATTAATACCAATCGTAACTAAGTTTTCCTTTTGTTATTTTTCTTTATTTTTTTTTGGAAGGGGGGGGAGGGGGTTGTTAAGGGAAGGGAGGTATTGGGGAGCTTAGATAAGATTTATGAAAATCAACTAACTCAAAATATGTATTTTGCAAAAGCTACCTAAAAATTGTCTAATTAGGTGCATTATTTGCAGACTTGTACAAAGTGAAGAGAGAAACAGCATAAGCAATAACATTGAAAAATACAATTCGCAAGATGAGGAGAGTGATCAGTTCTTGGACATAAAAAGATCAATTTTCTAAAGAAACAAGGACTACGATTTCTAACCTGACAGCTAGTGTTTTACATAATCGATCCCAGAAGTCCATGATATGACATCCTGAAAGAACCCTCGAACCCCCTTCCCTGCCATTGACCCTAAGAAGGTGGCCATAACCATTAGAATGGATTACACCATGTAAGAGATGTGTGGTGTCTTCCAATTGGTGATACACCCAATCCTCAACATCGTCTGTAGTTGTCACATGGCTGCATGACTTGCACCTGAAAAGAAGAATGATGCATAAAATTACAGCTTAGTTAACAAGATCAACAACTTCAAAATGATCACAGCCGACAAAAAGTTAATAGATTAGCATGATGACTCTTGTAAAGCCAACATGATATGCTAGTGCCCGTAATAGCCACTTAGCCCGTTTGGTCAAAGAAATTTACAAAATGTCCTCTGGAACAAACTAAGAGAAATTTAATTTTTCAGATTAAAACGAAAGAAAATTATTGCCAATAGGTTCATTTTTTTTTTCCAAAGTTGAACTCAAAAGGGATTTGATCATTGTCAACAAGAGGCTTCATGAGATACAAATTCAAGACAACTAACAGAAGAATGTGACCTTAAACAGCATGCAAAATCATAGACATACATGGGACAACATGCATCAAGCGCTTTAACAGGAATGAACTACTATCAAGTATCTTCTTGTTTCTATCATTTTTTTTAACCAGTAAATTCAACCGTGGAAACTAACATATGACTATCGTATCTGGGAGATCAAAGAAAGTTCCACAATTTTGGACAATTACACATGGCATCAAAGTTCAGACCACCTGGAATGTTATATTGGAGAGTAGACAACTCCAACAATCCATGCATGTTATGGACCAGATTTACAAGATATGAATATATAGAAGAAATCACAAGTATGTATAAAACATAACATTATAAATGGAACAGGAAGATAAATATTTTAGTTCAGAGAAACCAATGTAAGGACAAAAGAAAGAGTTAGACCTTAATTCAGAGAAATGCAGGACATCCCCACAGCGCACACATGGTTTATGGTAGCCACAAATGGAATTACCATCAGCCTTAATTATAAAGTGGTAGCGCTTTGAACATACTGGATGGCCGCTCCATCCTAAAATCAGGATTAAAACAATATAAATAAATAGTTTACCAAAACTTGTATCACTAAGAATTCCATTTATTTGTTAATAACGCAATAATAATAAAGTCATCAGGCAGAGGCTGGACTATGCTCTAGGCTCTACTACATCAAGAAGGTGTCTATGAATTCACACAATTATGCAACTTGTGTCATACTAAAAGGAAAAGTTGAAGTAATCTTTTCCATTTGTTCTAACGCAGACCAATACAAGAAGCATCTGGCAACAAAGAGATCAAAACGCCAATCCTAGTTTCCGAAAATCATAAGTTGTACAGATTTTTTTTTTCAAAAGAACTTATTATTACACCTGCACACTCTTTTAGCGAAACCGAAACTTAATTAAGTTAGTTTATATAATATACAGACATCCTTAAGAGATAGATATAAAACCCGAATCTTAATTTAATTAGTTTAGGAGCTTTAAGAGATGATATTAAAACCGGAGCTTGATAATTCAATTAATTTAATTAACCATGCCCTTAAGATATACATCCAACAGGTGTGAAACTATCCGCATCTCCTTCCCTTCCGACTGAGACCTCTTTGTTTAAAAAAAAAAAAAAAAAACCTTAATAAAAATTTACCACAGCTAATAAAAAAAAAAAAAAAAAGAGGGGATTGCTTAAAATGTATAAAATAAAAAAACGTGGCTGGATGACCAGTCAAAAGACAATTGGATGATAATAAGCATAAAAGAGAAACTTGGCACCACAGTTGAGATTTAAAATAACAACATACCACTAAAAAACAATTAGGAAGGGTATTCGGTAAAATAATAACATAAAAGTATAAATGACAGCTGTCTGGCGTACCATCATGCACAATCAAACACACGTCCCCCTATTCCCTACTCCCACCACAAATAAAATATAATAATATGCTTAAAACAAATAAAATAATCATATCAACCTAATCCACATCAAATAATAATCAAATGTCATTTTGAGGAATTCAATTTACTTAAATGTCCTTCAAATATTATCATCAAAACTGGGCCCCACCTTACCCACACCTACAAGTTTCCCTTTAAGCTGCTTCTATCTCGTCTCATTTTTCCTCACGAGATATTCACAACTCCCAAAGGTCTTACCATTTGTTTTTTCGTTCCGATTTATAAACATAGTACTAACAAAATCATTTACTAAATTGTCTTATTACGTTTATTTATTAGGATTGCTATTTTCCCGCCATCTGCGAAAAATGCTACCGGCAACCGGCAACCGAGAAAAAACCGAAACCCGGAAAAAGTGCCTAGAGTTGCGTGTAAGAGACAGAATCGGTCAATGACTCGGTCCGAGTCCACTTACCACCGACTCGGCACTGGTCGCAGTAGATGGATCTAGATCTGGCGACATCCTCCTCCACCACGTCTAGACAGATCATGGAAGAGGAGTCAGAGTCGCCCGTCGCGTCACCGACTCTGAAGAGGATCTGCCATGTCATAAGATGAGGAAAAAGCGACGACGGAGGCGGCATGTGCGCGTGTTTCATTAGAAACGACCCGACGTTGGTCCGAAACGGCGTGGAAAAGCTAGATCCAGAAGCAGAGGAAGGGAAGGTGTGGAAGTTGTACAGATCGGCTGTTACTCTCCTCTTCATCCTCTTCATGGGCATGCCGTTAACGACCATAGTGGAGAGCGTGGCGCGTGAACCAGATTCAGAGCGCGTGGGATGAGTTCTGACTGGAAGAGAGTGGATCGGATGAGGTGAGGAGAGCGTTAGCGGTATAAAGGGACGGACTGAGAGGGTGAGAGGGAGAGGATGAAAAAAGAGAAGGGTTTGATTGTTTAGCGGTTATTTTTGGGATGAGGGAGTGAGCAGGTGTGCTTTGTTTTGATCATAAAAAAATATCAATCAATCAATCAAGAGTTTGATCTGATATGATGATATGGCTGGTTTTTTTGGGGGTTTTCTCTTTTTTTCCGCATCATAAATACTAGTACTAGCTTTTGTTTTCTATCGTGGGAATTTTCGAGAGGAGTTTTATTTAAGTCGGTTTTGTTTTTGAAAAACGAGAGAGTAGATGGGATCTCATTTTTTATGGTTAAAACAATTGCTTAACTTAATCCTTAAGTTAAAGCCTTTAAGGGGCCTCCCTATGATACGAAATTACAATATTACCCTCAAAGAAACACCAAAGCAAAACCAAAATGATGTGTTCTAAAGAGACATAAAGACACACGAAGGAAGAAAAATAATAATGTAATTGAACGGGAAAGAGCAAGCGTTAATGCAACTTCCAGGAACGTTCGCAATTCCTAACTCCTTCTTAATGTGTTTGGTCCCGCAAATCAATGTTTTAACATTGGGAAATTCTAGACACAATTATTTTTACTCTTTACATCTATGTGTTAAATATTTTTTTTTTAACACATTTTAAAAATATTTGCTTATAACAATCAAACACTTTCAAACCCTTCGATCTCTCTGGTCTAAGCCAAACCCTTTAATCTTTCTCTCGTTTCATCAATTTCTCTCTCCAACAATAGATCGAAACTCTCAAGTCTTTCAATCTCGATTTTGAGACAATGTCACGATTGAATTCGTAGGAAAAACAATATCTGAGATAAAATTAAAATTTTTTTTTTTATTTGAATCGAATCTGATTAAATTAGTGTATCATTGCAAAAGATATTTTAATCATATAGATATTATTTTTCTATGGTTTCAAAGGTGGATGATTCAAGATCATTATGTAAATATTGGAACATTACAATCAAACAAATTAGTTGACATACTTGTAGATTTTTGAAAAAATAAGATCTTCATTTTTACTTTTTTTTAATGTTAACTAGGAGTGAAGAGGGACATTAGCCAAATATTATTAAAACCTTAAAAATCTTTTCATTATAATCGTCAAATTACATTAATCTAATAAGATGTATAAAGCCCACATATAAGTGATCACAATCAAAATTATATGAGTTCTAATGCATGTTTCACTAAATTTATAAATCAATTTATTAGACATTAAAATCACCGATTAAGAGTAGCCCATATTATGAAAAATTTTAACATTTTCTCACTTTGACTAAATTAATTGAGTTGTTTGATTTTAAGAAAATATAATTTAAAAATAAGATGATTGATTAACTTTAACTTGATGTGATCACAATTTTAAAAACAATTTAGCCCTTGAAAACAACATCTTAGATGATCTTTCCAATAAAATTATCTAATACCAAATCATGGTAACCTTTATGGCTTTTATTGACATAAAACCAATTCATGGTTATAAATACCAAAAACTCTATTGACAATGGATCTTAAAATTGCAGTGTGCTAAGAAAAAAAAATACCTAAATTGGATCTCATTATGATATTTTCATTGTTAGTGCTTTTGTCAATTTTTCTAAACTTATTGAGAAATCTTCATGACATCCAAAAGTGCCTATATGTCTCTTCATAATCTTAGAGATTATTTGTCGATATCACTTATAATACATACCTAAGTGACATTATAGTCATACTTGAGACAGATACTAAGTCTTAAGTTTTTATAATATGATGTGTCAATATAAGATGTACACATACAATCAAATTTATACATAAATAAACAACTATGATGAACATATAAAACAATTATGTCCATTTAACTTGATGATACCTTATTGACTTATTCATCTTAAGTTATACCTTATAAGTAATTAACAATCACATGCGATGCATTTAATAAAATAAAAAACCTAAAATAATAATGGTTTCAAAATCTAAATTCTCAATACATATATTGCTATAATCAACCCAAAACCTTAACATGTTATATTTTTCATATCTACAAATATCCATATTATAAATTGACAATATCATATTCTCACATAGAGAAAATATATCATCAAATAATCAAATCACAATGACTCCCACTAATATAATGAATCACAAATATGCTCTAATCAGATTTTGAATAATAATAAGTACACAACAATAAATGCAGTCATAATAAAATTATGTATTATCTACCCTCATATCAATGTCATAACTGCTATTGTTTTTGAACTTTTATGATGTCACTTTAATAAACCAATTACAAATTACTAACAAGTTATGAGCAAAATTTTCATATTCATATGTTTATAAAATTCAAAATTCTTAATGTTTCAACATGAGATCATTTTCAACAAATTTGGAATTCACTTATTATCTAACTTTTATGTTTAAAATGTACTAAAGCTAATAGCATATGAACTCCCATTAACCTTACTCCAAAATAATAACTTTAAGGCATTTATGAGTTCTTATTACTTTAAAAAATATGTATAGAAAACTTATATGGATTTTTATTTCCTTTAAAAGATTAGTTTTGGTATTAACAAAATAATAATAAAAAATATCAAAACCTTCTTCTTCTTTTTTCTTTTAAAACCTTTATATTATTCTTTCTTGTAACTTTCAAGATTGAACTCAATATATAATTCAAAACAAGGGAAGTGAAATGAGAGAAAACTATAAAATTTTTATTCTTTCTTAAAAGTGAACCAACAAAATTCGAGGATGATTATCAAAGAATGAATTGAACCAATAAAAAGCAAAACTAATAGTTTATATATTTGCACAAAATTCATTCCTCAAAACTCTCACATGTGTGGTAGGTATAAAATAATATTTTTCTCCTCATATGTGAGTTCCTTAAAAGAAAATATTTAGTTTACTTTAAAGACATATTATCAACAAATGACAATAATACGCTATTTAAAAATGATACTTGTTTGGTTTAATAATATTAGTTAAGATAATCAAACTAATATATCAATTACGAATTAAACAAACAAAAGAAATATTTGTCAAAATGAAATTATATTTCAACAACTCTCAATTTTACTTAAAATAAATTAAGATATTATAACATATCTAAAATTTTTGTGTGTGAAAGCAAATCATTTTGGCTATTGTTACGACGTCTTAGGACCTATGGGTGATCTAAAAATTGAACGAATTGGGAATTGGAAAACAAGGGCTAAAAAATATTTTTGATGAAAATCAAAATGAGAAGTCACCATCAATCTTTTTTAAGGTGTGATTGATCACCTAAAATTTTTGTCCTTTTTCATAAAACATTTAAAATGGGTTTAAAAGTTTTATGAAAAAAACAATTTTACGATCTGTGAAATCATAATTATGTCTTAGAGTCGATTATGCATGAAGAAGGATTAATACCCCAGCAGTGCTCGTCAGATATGGTACCAATTAATTACATATTATTCTTTAATTTTGCTAAAGATGGTCTTATTTTTTTAATGTTTAAAATTAATTCCTTTTCTTTTTCTTTTTTTCGAAAAGAAAAACAAATCAAATTTGGGATTAATGATGTATGTAACAATTACAAATTACAAAAATGCATGTAACAAAATATTTACAAATGCATGTTTCAATTTTGAGATTTCAAGTTTTGGGGTTTCAAGAAAAATGCATATAATAATTACAAATTACAAATTACAAAAATGCCATTAATGATGCATATGCTAGAGCATGACATGATAACAAAACATTTACAAAACAAAGCATTTACAAAACCAAATCACAAATAAGTTCTATATGAAAAATTCAAGAGAAAAATGGATCAAACATGAAAATTTTTTGAAACTTGGTTTGAATGTGCTACCATTCGTTTATCACTTAAACCCAACCAAACAGCTTAAAAATTTACTCAAACCAACCATTAAAGCAACATTTTTTCATTAGAAATTTAATTTAACCACTTGAAAACTTGAAAACTTGAAAATTATAGCTAAAACGCGATCCATCAATTATGAATCAAGCAACAAATGCTCACCAAACCAAGCACAAGGTTCGGCCAAAAAAATAAACATAATGGCCAAAGATGTTTCTTTAAACATATTTTAATTCCATTTCATCCGAACAAGCAATATATACTTATTCACTCATCACAAAAAGACATTTGGATCATGAGAAGGCATTTATCAAGCATAAAGTAAGCTAAAATGACTAAGAAAATATGAACAACTTAAACATAAGCCAAACACCATCATATATCATAATATTAAATCATAAACTAAACAAATAACAAGTGAGCCATCAACCAAACATACATAGCAAAAGAAGCAAAGAAAACATTTGGAGAAAAAAAGCCAAAAAAAATTTAGCCATAGTGGAAGAGATTGGCTTAACCTCCAACTTGGTTTTTAAATAGTGAAGTATTTTGTTTTTGTTTATTTTCTAGCTTCACTCCAACTATTGATTAGTTGGATAAAGTTTGATTCAAACTTTGAACAAGAAAATGAACTAAACCTTCAAGAAAAATAACAAAAAAATAGATAAAACAAAATGAAAATGTAATGAAAATGTAACAAGGATGCAAGAAATGCAAAGATGGATGTTGAAAAGTTATACCTTTCAAGCAAAGAATTTTTGTCCTCTTTTTTCCTCGTAATTTTTTTTCTTTCTCTCTTTTATTTTTCTTCATGAGCTCTCCTCTGGTTTTTTTCAATGTAAAAAATGCCTTATATTATGAAGGATATGATGGAGAAATATCTTTAAAAAATTAAATCTTGGTATTAGGATCAAAGCTCACCCAATAGCTAAAATTTTTCCCTTGATTTGGTTTCAAAAAGCCAACTTTAACCATTTAATCAAGATTTCCTATGTGATCTAACAGTTTAGATTGTTCATTACAAAAGTTAGATTTTTATAGCCATAAAATCTAGTGAAAAGACCATCTTAGAAATAAATGCTTTCATGTTTATTTTGTGATTTTAAAGGAATAAAAATTATGAAATGATATAAAATTAAGATCTAAAATTTTTCATGAAAATCAAACTTTGGGAAGGTCAAATTATCTTTAAAGTGTATTTTAGTAATTTCACACCTCTCAAGATATTACTGTAGTTTTGAATGCATAAAAAATCATGAAATATTATAAAAATATTATATGAAAAGTTTCATGAAAAACTAACATAAAAAAAGTTAAATTATGAAATTACCCCTAAGGGGTATTTTAGTAATTTCACATCTTTTGAGGTACAATCAAGCTTTTCAACACTCTAAAAATCATCAAATAATATAAAATTATGATATGAAGCTTTTTACAAAATTTTGACCTTGA